CTTGCTTCTAATATGCAGTAGAACTCTCCCATCTCTTTTATCATATACAAGCTATCTTTTTTTTGTTGCTTTTGTTTGTTTTGTTGCTTTTCTCTTTTTATTGCTAAGGAGAGTATGATCCAAATACAAATTATCTCTGTAGATCTCAATCATGGAGTCATGAGAAGTAGTTTGTGAAGATTTTGTGTTTTGTGGGTTGTTTTGTGGGGATATCTATATATATACATATATATATACACCTTTTTTTTTTTTTTCTTTGTTTCTTCCCTCTTTCCTCTACCCTTTTGTGTGAAGTCTGGATACATTAACATGAAATATGGGGATATTGTGAAAAACTAAGCTGTATTTTATAAGTCAGGTGCTTTCAAGATCTGTGGTTCAGATAAGCTTATTTCTAACTTTTACAAGCAAAAACTATCCTTTAAATAATTTGCCGTGTTCTTCAAGACTACATGAATATAGTTATGGTTTAACCAGTGCTCCTCAAGAGTATGTGCAGTGCTCGGTATATTTTTGAATGTATCTAACATGTCTAACCTTCTTGCAACACTTGTAATTTTCTCCATTCTTCTAATTATTTTATATACATTGTCTTAATTTTGTAGTTTGAGTATGTTCATGTATTTCATAAATGTTAACATTCTGAAACTGACTGCTCTTTTTTGACTCAATATAATCATGTTAGTCTATAATATTCCATTGTTGCTGTTGTTGCCAAACTCAGTTGTACTGTTTCTTGTTATCTGTTTCTGGTTAGACTAAGTAGAATCCCTTACCACACAAATACACACAAACAAACAAAAAAATAAACAAAAATTAAACAAAAATAAACAAAAAAAATAAACAAAAAAACAAACAAACAAAAAAAAACAACAAAAAAAAGGAAATAATTCCAAAAAAGTAGCTACTGTAAACAACATGTTGTTGTAAATATGCATGTAAATAATTCTGTTAATATTTCACTGTAATACGTTTGGTTAAATGACTTGTGCGTCTGCTAATACAGTGAGCACTGTTTTCTGGGTGTTTATTAAACATTCATTTAGGTTGGAGTTTTGGAAAATAAAATTTAACTAGCTTTGTTTCCTTTGTTATATTTTCACCATTTTGCCTTTTTGCTTAAAAAAAAAAAAAAAACTTTTTTTTTTGTTCTTCTGTATTTTTCCTACCTGCAAAAGTCCTTTTTTTTTCTTTAAAGTAGCAGCTGCAGAGAGGACTGTCTTTTACAAATTTTACAAATGAGACATGCAAAATTTATTGATGGATAGTAGCAGTCAGGAGATCTGTATTAACATTTCAGATTCTCTAGATGAAAACCCAAGAAGCAGAAATGTGTAAATTAAATTATTTTCAGATGAAGATACTTAACACACGCATTCTCTGACATTAGATTGTGCATAATTTTCTTTAAAAAATGTTCAATTCACATGTAGATCAGTCTTCTTATGACTTTATAAGCAGATTTCTTGTGGAAAACGTATTTCTGAAAATGGAAATTCTCAGTAGCATGACGAAGGAAGAAGGATTTGCAAAATTCATTACAGTAAATTAAGAGCTTCTTCAGGGGACTCTGCCTTACATGTTTAAATGTGCAGCTCTTGAGCAGCGTGTTTTTATGAAAACTAGGATACATATACTATCTGTACAAGCTGACAGGATGTATGTCTCACATAGAATTCTAAGTAAGAAAATACCCTAACTCATCTTGTACAAAAATATAAATTAGGAACTGTATATTTTATGCAATCCAGATCAATACTTACAAAATAGGCTTTTTCTGTTTTTCCAGGAAAAATAATGAAAGCTGAATATTGGGACTTTCATTCAAGGTAGTGGAGAATTCTACATCCACAAGGTTTGTGAGAGCTTTAGAACAGCTTTACTACAGTAAGGAAAAACTGGTTTTAAGTCTCCTTTACTCAGTAAGGAAGACAATATTGTGTTTTACCATAAGAATACAACAATCTTTCCTGCTTATCCTAAATCTCACAGGAATCTAATACAAATTACTGACAGTGGAATGAGATGTAAGGGTGCAGAAGAAGGAAGCAGGTTTTGCATTGCAACAGTTACCATTTGCTGCTTATCTGACAGCTTTTTAACAGCCAGTAACTCTTCTGTGTATCATAGAGGTGAGTCTCCAGAGGTTTAAGGATAATTTCACCTATGCTTCAACATTTACAGATTAATAGTGCACTGTGTAAAAGTGCTTTTTATCTATAAGCTTCTAAACAGCACCTTGCAGGTGAACAATTCTTTAAAGAGATGCTTTCTTTGTGGCACAGTGCTAAGCCAATGAAGTTAATGGTAGCATGGAAACTTGAAGAGAGAAGCAAAGCCAACTTTTTATGTACAGTTCCAACAAGAAATGTTCATGGAACTTGAATTGTTCCTGTGACCAACTGGTTAACTTCACGCCACAGAAAGTATGCACAATATTTGACACTCTTGACAAGCAGTGACTTTTGTGATTGAGTGAAAATGTTTAGTACTAGATCTCACACTGCTTAAAGTCATTTAACACAGGGCTGCAAAATATGTTGCTTTGCATGCCATTTGCTGTTGAATAAGTTTCATATTCAGCAACTCTCAGTAATTTCTTTCTGCTAAGAACTTTTGCTATTGATCTACTTTTTTTTTTAAATTAGGAAAATATGATCACTAGGTTTTTGAATTTTGCTTTTAAGTGTAATTGTAGCACTACTGAAAGAAGTCTGGATCAGCTAGGACAGGTGTCAATGATTATGCACAGTTAGGACTATTTTCAAATGACATCCATTGTGGCACTGAACTTCACTGTCACTTGTTCTTCATTGTTAGTTATTTTTATTTCTCTTGGGACTGGTATTTTCATATCATGATGTTCTGCCTTTCTCTCCTTCCTACACAGAACTCACTTACTCAATTAGCAGTAACTCAAATTTGCAATTTTGCTTCTCTTTGACACAATTATAGTTCAAATCATCCCAGTCATAGATCCTACCAGTTGATATAGGTACAGAAAAATAATGTTCCAACCAAAAATCAAGAATGATACTGCGTATTTCTACTTCCTGAATTGCTGATGCCATTTCTATCTACTTCAGTCTGCTTGACCTACCTCCACAGTTACCAAGTTCTGAGTTGTGATCCCAGCACTGTAGTTGCCAGCAAAAAACTATGCCAGCATAAATTCTCCAATATTTTAAAATATAAGAGATCTACCATTATTTTATTTTTAAAGATAAAACCTGAATAAAGACTAACTAGAATATGCATTTCTGAACTATAATCCAGTCCTATCAAATTTTACACTTGTTTGCTTTAAATCAACTATCTCCCCACTTTTAGCTTGAAACCATTTCCCCTTGTCCTATCATAGAATCATAGAATCACTCAGGTTGGAAAAGACCTTAAAGATTGAGTCCTACCATGACCTAACCATACTACCCTAACTAACAACCCTCTGCTAAATCATCCTGAGCACCACATCCAAATGGTTTTTAAACACATCCAGAAATGGTAACTCAACCATCTTCCTGGGGAGTCTATTCCAGTGCTTAACAACCCTTTCTGTAAAGAAGTCTTTCCTAATATCCAACCTAAACTTACCCTGGTGCAACTTGAGGCCATTTCCCCTCCTCCTGTCACCTGTCACCAGCAAGAAGAGACCAACCCCACTCTCACTGCAATCACCTTTCAGATACTGGAAGAGAGCAGTAAGGTCTCCCCTCAGCCTCCTTTTTCCCAGACTGAACAGCCCCACTTCCTTCAATCTCTCCTCATAGGGCATATTCTCCAAGCCCTTCACAAGCCTTGTTGCCCTTCTTTGGACCTGCTCCAGCACCTCAATGTCCTTTCTGTACCGAGGTGCCCAAAACTGAGCACAGTACTCGAGGTGAGGCCTCACCAATGCCGAGTACAGGGGCAGGATGACTTCCCTAGTCCTGCTCACTACACCATCCCTGATACAAGCCAGGATGCTATTGGCCTTCTTGGCCACCTGGGCACACAGCTGACCGTCCATCAGTACACCAACATCCATTTCCATCAGGCAGCTTTCCAGCCACTCCTACCCAAGCCTGTAGGGTTGCCTGGGGTTGTTGTGACCAAAATGCAGGACCCAACACTTGGCTCTATTGAAACTCATTCAGTTTACCTTGGCCCATTTATCCAGTCTATCCAGGTCCCTCTGTAGTGCCTTTCTCCCCTCAGGCAGATCAATGCTCCCTCCAAACTTGGTGTTGTCTGCAAACTTACTGAGGTGCACTCAATCCTCGCATTAAGATCATTAATAAAGATGTTAAATAGAAACAGCCCCAGTATCGAGCCCTGGAGGATACCCCACGTGATTGGCCGCCAGCTGGATTTAACTCCATTGACCACAACTCTTTGGAAGTGGCCATCCAGCCAGTGTTTCACCCAGTGGAGGGTACACCCATCCAAACCATGGGACAGGTTTGTCAAATGGGATCTACCATTAGTAAACCCATGCTGACTGGGCCTGATCCCCTGGTTGACCTTTGATTGACTCCCAAAATTATCCGTTCCATAACCTTCCTGGGCACCAATGTGAAACTGATAGGTCTATAGATACCAGGATCATCTTTATGGCCCTTTGTGGAGACAGACGTCACATTTGCCAGTCTCCAGTCTGCCGGGACATCCCCAGTTAATAACAGACCAACAATCTGTCCCCTGCTTTCCCATAGCTCCCCTTTAGATACGAAAAGGCCGCTCTCAGGTCACCTCACAGCCTTCTCTTCTCCAGTATGAACAGCCCCAGCTCTGTCTGTCCTTACAGGGGACCTGTTCCATCTCTTGGATATTTTTGTGGCTCCAACAGGTCCATGACTCTCCTATACTCCCATGTAGGCTGGGCATCCATTTTTATTTCTATATCCTAACCAGAAGCCACTGCTTTACACGGCAGTGACTTCCTTTTCAGGAGCAATCTGTTTTCATTCACGCCTCTTCTGAGCACTTCTCACACAAGTTTGACGGAATTAGTACTTAGCGATGTCCTGTCCTGCCCAGGCTGAGTGAAGACACGAGCAGGGAGACCGCAGCAGACGCGGTGCAGCATCAAATCGTGAGCAAATACAACGAAAGTCACCACGCGCCGTGGCACAGCCCGCCGTGCCGCGCCGCAGGGCGTGCCGGGGGAGCCGGGGAGGGCGCTGTTCGGCGGCCCGCCTCGCCGCCCGCCGCGCAGCCGTGGGCCATGGCCGCGGAACGGCTGATGGTGCTTTACGAGGACGACTCCGTGGAGGTGCACTATGCGGACGGGGCCCGCCTGCTGCTGTCCCCCTGCGGCTCCGAGTACCTGTACGAAGAGGCGCTACCCGCCGCCGCCCACCCCCTGCAGCCGGCGGAGAGCACCCGCCAGCGGGTCCCGTTCGCCCTCAGTGCCTACAGGGTACGTGGCGACCGGGCGCCTGCGGACCCCGATCGGGGACGGGTAGGCGGGTAAAAAAAGAGGTCCGCCGGCGGCGGAGGCAGCGAGTGCTGCCGAGGAGCCCACGCCCCTGCGGTGCGAACGCGGCCGGCCTGCGAGCGCCGCTTCGAATCCGCTCCGAACAGCAGCGCCTGCGCCCCGCCGAACGGCTGCCTAGAAAGCGTGCGATGTTGCGGTTTTATTTTTGTTTCCTTCTTTAACTAGGAGCAAATCCTGCGAGCTCTCGACTTCCGGAACACGTTTTCTTCTCGGCCGTATTTACCTTCTCGTATTATGTCCCCAGAAAGAAAAAGAGTAAGTCCCACACGCGTAACTCCTATACACGGACCTTCCCCAGCTGTGACAAGCGCTGCCTGCCCGGCTCCGTTCGCCCCTGTGGGTGCGGGCCTCCACGGCCTCGGAGGCGGGCTGCGCCTCGCCTTGCTGACTTGGTTGCAATACAGACGCTTTAAGTTACAGATGTAAATTTTAGTTCATCCTTTGCCTGTAGCCCTGCGTATCTTCTATAGCTGAACAGCACAGATTTTACTTGCTCTAAAACCCCAAATATTTCACGTCTGATAGAATCAACTATCTTATATATTGTTACTTTCCTGTCATGAAAAATTGTCCAGGTAAAACCCACTGAAATACCATTTTCTGAAGGGCTGTCAGCTGTACCATCCTATCACAATTTCCCGTCAGTCCTTACCTCTCCTTCCAGATGTGCACTGTGCTCACACTGATGCTCCATGGTGTGCAGCAATGGGTGACCTCCCACCTTCCCCAGGCTCAGCTTCTCATAGAAGATGGTTGACTTTCCGCTCAGTTTCTAAATATTCCTGCTTCAGGACGCAGAGGATAGCTTCCCAGAGCCACACCGCCCTTATTTGTTGCTGTGCTTTTTTTCTCTTGGCTTAGCTTCTGTTGTTTTTCTTACGGTAAGAGTAGTATTTTTGTTGTTCATGAGACAGCACTTCCTCAGTAACCACTGATTTATCAACAGTTATTGTTCTGTGGCCTGTTTTCAATCAGTGCATGTCTTCAAGGCCTTTGCTGTTTCCCACACTTGAGCTGTACAGAATAATAAGAGATAGCATTTACCAACTGCCATGTACTCACAGCAAAATCTCATGACAAGGGGTTACTGGCCTAAATCGGCCAGCTGAGGCCTTGTGAGAGTGAGCATGAAGTGTAGTTGGCTAAAGCTCTGTGGCTTTTATGGGCAGTACTATTTCCACTAGGCTGCATCCACAGTTACCTTGTTTTACTTCACTTAAATTCAAAACAGTATAGCTCTGTTAGGCTGTTTTTGGCCACAACGACCATCCACATCTCTAGGAAGCTTGACAAGGGGTATCCTATCACTCATGAGGTCTGTTTAGAGCTGCACTTAATTATTAACATGCATATTAACCATAAATATACTCTAGTTCCTTTTGTAGAAATTTCTAACATTCAGTATTCTGCTATCAGAGAGTATGCTTTTGTATAATTGTCAGTCATGACGACAACATCTCATTCCTGGTGGAAATAGTCAGGTCAGAGCCCATGGTTTTGTACGTAAAGTTAGGATTGCTTTCTCATTTATACTGCATTATACTTAGATTCAAAGAATTACCTGCAGCCTTATTGAGCAGTCACCTGATTTTCTGAGGGCAGATCCTTCTGCAATTCTTTACAGCCAGTTTTCACCATTAGTGTCCAAAATACCTTCAACATAGTTTCTCACCTTTCTAGGTCGCTCATGTTGCCATGTTTCATGTTTAATGGACTCTGTATTTTTCTAGTGCTGGGCTGACGAATGCTCCTGACATGATTTGAGTATTGAGACTTAACCTTGCTGGCAGCTCAGCACCATGCAGCCATTTACTGGCTGCTCTTCACAAGGGGATGAGGGAGGGGGAAAAGTAAAACTCACTGTCTGAGATAAAGACAGCTTGATAGGAAAGAAAACGGTTACAGGGAATTAAAAAATGCACAAAGCAAGTGGTGCATAATGCAGTTGATGGCTGCCTGCTGACTGATGGCTGCTAGTCCCCAAGCAGAGGACCCTGTCTCTGGCTCCCTCCCAGCTCCTTTTACACCCCCAACCCCTCACTGGGCAGACAGTGTGAGAAGCTGAAACGTTCTTGGCTCTGTGTAAGCACTGTTCAAGAGCAACACATTCAGTTGTGATCAGCTGTATTCTTATCTTAAATCCAAAACACAACACCACACCAGCTCCTGGAAAAAAAGTTAGCTCTGTCCCAGCCAACACCAGGATAGTGAAGTAAGGCAAAGCTAATTAAATTGGAATAAAACATATGATTAGGAGCATTAATATTCTGCTGAAGTATTTTTCAGAATTTATTTGAGCGAGTCCCTGCTTCTTTTTTAGCTTAGGAGCCTGTAATTTAACAAATAAAAGCAGGCTAAATGTTTTCTGTGCAGTGACCAGTTGTAAGGACAACACAAAGGAAAATGGGTCCTTTTAGGGGAGTGTTTGCATATGAAAAGCACTCTGGACAGAATTTTCTGTTTTCAGAATGCAATTACTGTATTTTCTAAATTGTATCTAATTCTATCCCCTCCATGGAAAAGCTGTTATCTGGGGATTGAGATAGAGACAGTGTGTATATGTAATCATTTTTGAGACTCATCTACTTCATCTGTGTATAAAGTATAGCATAAGGACATACCCTGTGAAAATGTTTCACATTTATTTTGGACAAAACTGCTAACTGAGGCAGCAAGATGCACTAGGATATCACTGGAGTAAGATGAGAATATTTTTTTCAGGCTTCTCAAATGCTGTACTGTAAGTTTCTAGAACCTTCATTATATTTCAAGTATTTCTTCAGAAGTACATCCTATCCACATCTCAGCAATAACTGTGTAACTTAAGTATTTCTTAAGAAGCAGTTTGAAATAGAAATACCTGCTGTCAGTGGGTAGTTGTACCCGGTCAATCAGTCATTAATCTTCACAGTTTGCATGAATAGATATTAAATTACGAGCTTTTTGTTAGATAGAATCCTGTTGAAACAGAAGGAAGACGATACAAAGTACAGATATTCTGAGTTAATGTATACAGATAAATACAGAGTAAAATTTATTGCCAAACATTCGCTTGCTGAAGGACTGAATAATTCTTCCACTGTAATTTCTGGCAATTAATATCACTGTACCTTACAGCTCATTCCAATCCTTTATCTTAGATTATTTTCAGTGATATCTTAGAAGTTAGATGGCCTGACCCTGCTACTTCTGATCTGACAAGATGCATAAGGAATGGCAGTGTGAAGATCTCATCAGTAGATGGTTATGCCCACCTTTATCTGTCAGAATTGCAGCAGGAATTTACTGTGGAGTTCTTATGTAAAGTCAGCCAACCATTTGCAACATCCTCACACTTCTCTCCAAAGAATAGCAACTATAAAACCGAAGATCAGTATGGAAAATCAAGTAAAAATTCTGTTCCAGAAATGTCATCAAAACAAATAAGACTTGATAATAAGAACAATGAAGATGGTCATGCTGAAGATAAACACAGAGAAGCAATCAAATCAAACAACCAGAGGGACAGAGATGGAGTTCCTTTGTTTTATACAAATTGTTCTTCTGAATACACATGGGTTACACAGCGTTGGTCAATTTCCTCATGCCCAGAAGAATGGAAATACCCTTTGTCATTGGCATTAATGTGCTACAGCTTACATACTGTTAAGAATGTACTGAAGACATGCGAGGAAAATAACCATGCATCTACCGGAGCAGATGTTTTACGAGACCACAAAACATATGAAGCAGTGTCTCATTTGCCTGCAGCTTTGCCGATCAGCTGCAGAGCACCACATTTACACAGGTAACTGTATAATCAACAAGTATACAGATGTATAATTGACAAGTATACAGAGAAGTTAGGCTGGTCTTTTAGAGAGCGTATAGCTGGAAAGATTATCATGTTGGAAAGGCATAATCAGAAATGAAAGAAAAAGCTTACCCACGTCCTGGGCTCACAGAAAAAGTCTCTAAGAGGAACACTCTACAGAGAGAGATCCTTCCTCAGTGGCAGTCAGTCCTCACATGGAGTCTAGGAGAAGTGCAGCTAGGCTGTACCTTTTCTGGTCACACAGCTGAACTGCCTTCACCTGTGCTCCCATGGCTGACTCAGTGCTCGCCTAAGGAGATCAATTAGAGGTTCAGGCCATGATTCAATAGTTCCCATACACTAACTTACACTGTTTGTCTTAATTATATTACGTATATACATATGTTTCCAATTCTACAAGTATGGACTTCAATCTTGAGCAAAACAACTGATTTCTAGCTATCAGAAATAAAAAATACACCACTGTACTTTGTTTTTTTTTTATGGAACTTCTCAAAATATTCTATCTGTCAAACCAACATTCTTATCCTTCAGTAATGACTAAAGATTAATTAGTCCAGAGGGAAAAACACATTTTCTGACCTGCTTTGTAAATGAAAATGAGAGTACTGAAAATAGCACCATATTGTATTTGAGGTTTTTTGCTTGTTTGCTTTTTCTCATTTTTGAGAAGGTAATTCTTCTGAAGTGAGCCAGTGCAGTACATTCTCTGTCAGCACTGCTAAAAATAATTGAAAATTTCATTGTAGGCTCAAGAAATTGATTTCAGTAACTAACATGCATAAGTAAGGAACTAGAAGGCATTTAAAATATGTGGCCTATTTTCTTCTGAATAGATGTCCATATATCTGTTTTGATCTAGAAAAATGTTCCTATTTAGGATACAGAAATTATTACCAGGAAAAAAAAAAAAAAAAGTTGAATTTTATTGCAGCTTTTACTGTATTTTTTGCAGGTGGAGTTTCTGTGACTTCTTTCTACAAAACAGTCAAGATTCTGAAACGTATTCATACCCTCAGCTAATTCAAATTGTGTGGTGCAAGGGTGTTTTTTATAGGTATGAAGGGAGTCCTCCTTTTCATCCTCTTTTGTATGGGAATTAAACTTTAGGATGCAATGTCTTAATTTCATTCCTTTGCAACTTTTTGATAAATGGTGTGCTATCTTTATATAAGGTTCTGTTCATTTCTGCTGTTTGTACACTGGGCTTCAAATTTGCTTCACATTTTCTAGTACAGTATAGTACAGGGTCTGAAAGTAGGTAAGCCTAGAACAAAGAGTTTGAAATAATGTTTGTGGCTTCTAAAGAAGTGATCTAATTTCTTAGAGGCTTAAATGAACAGCTGTAACTGCCACAGGCTTCACTGGCAATTGCAGTACTTGATTTCTTTGAAAATTACAGCACTCATCTCAAAGCTAAAATCTTCACATTTTATAAACGGTTGTCTTGGTGACCTATGCAACTCTCGTATTGGAGGGAGCTGAATTCTACTGAGTTCTGTGTTTTCCTATAAATGAGTTTGTCCATGTGGTTTTGATTTTGTTGTTTGTTTGTTTTTTAAATAAGAATTTTTGTAAAATAAGCTTTTTAAATCTGCTCTACAAACTTTGAAAGTGCTATAGTTGCTATCAGAATTCAGAAGTCTTTAAAGCTTTAATCTTTCTCTCCATGCCCTTTTTTTCCGTCATTGTAATTCCTCAATTTTGATCTCATCAAAAAAAAGCTGTTCATCAGCTTTTTCGGTACAATAATTCATTTCCTTGTAAGTCTTACATGTCCCTTCAATACTTCCACAACTGAAATCCAGGCATCTGACCACACTGTTGCGCAACTGGATCATTAAATGAGTTTTAAGGCTCCAGAATATAATATCATCACAAGAAAAAGACAGGTGATCTTAGTAAAAAAAATAGGTGCAATGTAAATGGAGATTTCAGGCTGTTTGGAAAGCATTTGATCACACAGGTCTCTTTCCTGTGTACACTAGTTAGAGCATGTCCAACAGAAAGAACATTATTTCTCTCTTCAGCATTGCTATACTTTTGGGCCAGTGGCATGGACACTGAACAACTCCTGTGAGACACCTCAACCCAAAAAACTCTGTTTAGTTTTTCAAACACACTAATCCTGTACCAACCTCCAGCCCATGAAAATAGAGCCTGGTAATGCTCATCACCTGTCTAATATAATTGGTATACTTTACTGTTTGGGAAAGAATAGAAAAATGTTCACAGTGTTTTTGAAGTTTACTAACCTATATCTTCTGTTGATGGAGTATTTTAAGTACTTGTTAAAAACCTAGTTTTTTTCTCTTAGATTTATCCATGGCAGAAGAAACATCACAGAAATTTATCCTGGTGATGAATCACTTTTCAAGTCAGAAGGAGATTTTTTGGGAAACTACTTCGTACATTATGCAATCCAGAAAGGAATAAAAAAGGTAGAAATAAAACTGTTTAAAAATATGTTCTGAATTCCTTCAATTTAGCATCTCTGCTTTAAGACATTTGGATATGCAATCTGTAGTGAAAACTCTACATTGTTGTTCAGATGATTACTGTAATAAATGAATCAAGCAATCTGTCATGTAAATAATTAGATTATTCCTTCTGTTGCAGAACGTATTTTCCATAGGTTGTAGGCAGAATAAGAAAAATATCTAACATTGTAATATTTATTTCACAAGCTCAAGTAAGTACTGTAATGAGATTCTATAATATCCACTTTTCACTAATATCAGTGAGTTTGCTTTTTAACCTAATATTGATTAGAGTTTAATCTTTTTAAAATTAAAATATTTTAGGCATTTTCTTTCTTGCAGTAGTGTACTATTTGGAGTTACAAACTTTGTGTTTCTGTTCAGTCCTTGCCAAAGACCAGCTGTGTTCCATTTTGGAGAAATGGTTTTGCCTCTCTATAGGTTGTCATGATTGTCTGTTGTTAAGTTTTCCAGAATAGGTACTCTGAGCTACTTATGCAGTTCTTAATGTAATTTATTGCACGTAGCTGCAAAGATACATAGAAATGTAGTAAACTTCTGTTTTCACATTGGAATCCCTGTGCTAGAGAAAAACGGGTAGTACTTAAATCCAGTCAGCAGCTGAGATTCTCCAATCAATGTTTGGGCAAATTAAGGAGTCTGTATGGTGAGGCTGTATCTTTAAGAAGGCACAGATTTAACATTCTACCATCCTGAAATGTTATAATCCTGCAGAGTTAGATCTCTTTGGAAAAGGTATATATATTTTAAGAGCAATATCCAAATCCAAGCATCATGCTAAGGAGAATTCTTTGAAAATAAGGGAGAACTGTGGCACTTCACTGAAGAAGATGCCTGTAAATCCATCTACATGTGGTGGCATATGGTCCTCTTTTCTAGTATGGTCAGAAAACATTTGAAAATTGGGAAGGAGATGCAACAATCCTTTAATCTCTTCTGATCTATAACATAATATCTGCTGTCCAGTAATAGCCATGCTTACTGGTATAGCCTTCTTAGATTAGGTGAAGAGGGAAACAGGGAAAAAAAAAATAGAGGGTTGATTAGTATATTATGTGTAGCCAAAAAAATTCTGTAAGCATAGTAGCAGAAATCCTTCATTGTTTTCAGTGATAAGTTTCTTTAGCATGGCTTTTATTCCACTTCGCTTCCTTAACTTTATCATGTGATTTTTTTCTTCTGTTTATTAAATATAAATGCATGTTTAATTTTTTTTTCTTCTGTCTTTAGGCTTGTAGGGTGTTTGTATTTTCAAAGCAACATTAAGGATTAATGTTGAATTATTTGAAGCTAGCCTCTAACTTGTAGTAAAACTTAGTTGCTTAGCAATTAATAGTAATTATAGTCTGCTGCTTCTCTGATAAAAGAAGTCCTTAGTCCTTACTGAGTGCGTGGAAACTGTGAATGTGTCCTTTTACAGAACTAGACTTAAAGGGTCCTGCTGGTTTGTGGTCTTTTCTTATCTTTCAAGCTTATAAAATACTCTTTCTGTGCTACAGTGCCTCAATAAATAACTAATGTGCCTTCTGCCCTTTACTGCAGAGAGAGGAAAAGATGTATTGGGTAAATAGTCTACCTCCTGATGTGCCAGGAAGTCAGTACTCTATAGCTTCCATTATTACTGAAGCAACCAAGTAAGTTATTTTTTTCATTTATTTTCGATACATTAATTCCTCTGACTTTGAGAGGACAGTAATTGAAATTACATGTATTATGCACTTAGGTGTAAAAATTAAATAAATTCATAGTAGCAAAGAATGTGGAGGACATACTATAGTAAGAACAAAATGCTCAATATTTTATGTTGATTTTTTCTTCCTCAGAATGCTTCGGTACTGCTACAAGACTAAACTATCATTAATTCATAACTATCATCTCTGCTGCTGGAAAATGGTACGTAGCTGAAGATTTATAAATCTTTTTGTGTTACAGAGATGACTATATGGGGTACAGGACCTAGTCTAGAGGGAATGATGGTGATCAGATCCTACAAAGAAAGTTGAAAAGATTTGGGAACCAGAAGCATGCAATGTTGATTTGTGTTGGTGAAGCAGAAAGCAATTAACTGATAAAGAGAGATGCATGTTGTCTAGTAAAACATGAAAATCTCAGAAAGATACAAACAGCTTTAATGATGTAAGTGACCTTTCCTCATTATTTTTAATGTATTTGTTTGGCTCTAGGTACCTGAGACAGATGGACGAGAAACGTTGCCAGTTTTGCTGGATGAGAAGGTTGTTTATGGCATAGGAAGACTTCTTGTATATTCAGACCATAAAGTCCATGCTGTTTTTTGGGATGGGATCTCCTTGAATATGGTTTGGGATTTCAGCTCTTGCTATACAAAAATTCAGGTAACTCAAGGGATAGAGAAATAACTATTCTTAAAAATCTTCATTAAAAATGCTAATTATGAAGCAAATGAGAAAAAAAAAAAAAAAGAAGAAGAAGAAAGATGTGATGATGTGATGTCTATGCAATACAAGCTGGGGTCTTTTCAAAGAGTCATAATTCCACACAGTTTTCTACTATGGCTTACTCTCAAGCTGGTATAGGAACTGTGTGGAGATGCCATCATGTATTGTGAGTATTTTACTCAAACTGAGGAGGAAAAATATTTTAGGGCATGGCTCATGCCTAAGAAATAAGTAAAACTTTATCCTTTTAAGCAGTTGCTCAAATTGGTGAAAGAAAGGAGTGGTATTTTTTTCCTTTTTTGTTGTTGTTGCTGTTGCTGTTGTTGTTGTTATTTCAGATTATTCATGATTGCATACATAGATAGTGAAAATATTACTCAGAGGAGCAATTTTGTGGGTATGAGTTTAAATATTTTTTCATAAAATTTTTAATGTATTTAATATTGCAGTAAAAAGATTATGTTGACTTGTGCACTAGAGTGGTGAAATACAAAAGCACTACAGAGAAAATTATGTCACAGTAGAATTCAAATTTGGCTGCTAAGACTTTTGGCTTCCATGTCTTTTCTTTTACTCTGAAATGACTAACCACAAAAAAAGATGTTAAAGTGCCTGAGGATGTAAACAAAATAAATGCAATACTCATCTTGCCAGATGAGCAATAGCTGTGTGATGTGATTGAGCTTCAGTTGTGATGAAAGTAGGAAGAACTGAAAACAATACAGATCTGGAAACATTCCTGTAGACTTTTAGAAATAAATAACTCTTAAACAGCACAAAAAAACAGTGTCGGGTCATGGCACGTTTTTCTTCTGCCCTCCCCTGTGTTTGTGATAGCAGACTGTAAAAAATTCTATCCTTAGCAAAAAGCACACTTCAAATGTTTAAAGTGTTCACTGTCCTTTACTTCTTCAGACTGCAGCATAATAATTTTCTTTCTTAAGGTAAATGAAGATGTAGGCTGGTGTAAATTAACTACTCCTGATGGGGTACAGCAGTTAATCCAAATAAGGCATCCTGGAATCTATGAAAGGTATAAATAATTTAAACAATTTAAAGTGAAATATTAAAAAGTTTTAAGCGAAGCCTTTTATATAAAGAAATGGTAGTTACTGGAAATACGTGGGGGGAAAACATGCCCAAATATGTAATGATAAATAACACATATCTGGCAAAGATTTGAGAACTTTATGACTAGGATTACTGTATATGGTCATTCCAGTATAATTGCTATAGAAGTGTAATGTCTTTTAAAAAAAGAAAGCCTAAACTAGAGCTAAAACTTGGCACTTAAATCAGTGGGTAAGCAAAATTAAAAAATCTTTGTGCTGTATAAAGCTGGCATACAGAGCTGGAGTAGTGCTTTATCCAGTTTTTGCTTTATTACAGATACTGACCTCCACCTGCATAGTGCTTTTTCTAATCCACTTGCTCTCTTCAGAGCCTCATTATGGGAATCATCAGAACCTTACTGCACTGCATTTTAGCAAGCTGATATCCACATACAAATTAACATTTGTGTACTGTTCATTACAAATCAGATGGCTTTGTTATAATTTTCTCTAACTGCACAGATTTAAATGTTAAGGATATTCTTTGGTGGGAAAAAAAAAAAGGAAATTTAAAAAAGGCAGAGAATCAGAGAAAAAGCTAGATTTTCAGTCATGGCTTTTTCTTTCAAATGCAGCTTTATTTCTTAGTACTTTTTGCAGCGTGGGGGGATGTAATGAATTTGGAGAGTTTGCATTTCTCATTAAATAACTACTTTTTGTCAAATTTCATGTTAACAGGTACATCAGAACAGTAATAGGATGGTGCAGAAGTTTGAATGAAAGCAAGGAGGCTCTTGAATTTACTACACACACTGTAACTGAAGAAAATTGGTACTCATTTTTATCCTAAGTAAATGACTATAAATAACACTAAGAATAAAACTCAGTAAGACTGCAAACTCTGAATTTTATGGACTGCATTTCCTAAGAATCAGAAATGAAAACTGTAAATCCATTTATTTTGTGGGGTTTCATATTTTTCGTTCAATATTTAAAATGTACAGAAAGTTGAGTTCTAGACAGAAATAGATAGAGTTCCATGGTGTTTCTTCCTGCCTTACTTAAAAATCAGAATAGTGATCACTCTGCCAAAGAAAGAATCATGTTACCAAAGTAATATCTTACAAACGAAAATGAGATTCTAGACTGAGAAGGGCAGTTCTTATAACAGAACACCAAGCTGCCCAAAGTAATATGTGGAACCTTTATAAGACGTCTGGATCTTTTGCAAACATATTTGTCCTTTGTAATATGTGCTAATGGCCAAAGGACATTTAGGCATAATATAATATAATAAAGGCATAATATACAACATATTCATGTAATTACAAATGTGATAACTGATTACATTTGCACTTGTTATGCTTATTAGAGCAGATAAACTAGCTGATAAAACAAGTGTGTATATCCATATATACGTTTGTACATATATACAGGAAGGAGGCTGTTTATTGAGCTGAGCCCTGATTTTTGTAATTAATGATTAATATTAATGATTGATAGGAATTAAAATATGCAGGCTTTTTTGGGTTTTTTTTCACTTGAAATTCTCTTTTTTTTCAATATTTCTGAGAAACTAATAAAATCTGATGTACAAAAACATGGTTGGGAAATTTTTTAGATAATACTGTAAATAATAACCTTTCTTTTTTTGGACAGGTCTGCTGATGCTGAGCTTGAAAAAATACAGAGATTCAACTGTATCCTTTTGAAAACGATGAACATTTTCACGTTCATGCTCATATGAAGTTCATCTCTATATTCAGAGCAGCCTTTTTAGGCATCAGAGGCTCTCTGTTCTGTTCTCACCTCCTTTTATTGCTTTACTTGCTTCCTAAAATTACCTTTTGAAGTCACATTTCTCATTTATCTTGTCCAATTTTTGTACAACAGCACTGGAAACAAAAATAGTAACAGTACAAAATGAAAGTAAAAGTGTTAACCAAAAAGGTGGAAATCCAGTAATGGGTATTACATCCATTTGGATAAAATCATCTGCTGATCAGTTCTTGAGGGAGGAATGATGCATTTGCCTCTTGGTGTGCTGCAGTGAGATGTCATCCTGTTTATCAGCTACCGGAGGGTTGCCCAGCCAGCCCAAAAAAGCATGCAGTGGTTAATTTGCTGAAAGCCATTGTGTACTTCTCTTGATGGCAGTGGTTTATTTTACTACTGTGAAAGTTAATGCTGTGAAACTCCATTCTGACATCAAAAGTTTTATTTTTAAAGTAACTCAGGTAAACAGAGGCCTTAGATAATGGTCTTCTCTAGAAGTGTTGTAGATGTTTTAGTGCACTCATTTTTTAGTTTTGTCTAACTACTGTGGTATAAAACGTGAGCCTCTGTAATGCAGAATGATGGTTAAAATACAGAGAAGCATTTTTTATCAGTACTGGTGGAAGACTGTATTCTTCTTAACTAACTACTGCTAGTTTTATTGGATAATAGCAATGTTCTGGAAGGGACGTCTGCTGCAAAAAGCAATCTATCTGTCAAAAAAACAGAAAATGGGAACGATCCTCAGGAAATCAGCAAAGGACATGTTTTGGAAGCTCTGCAAAATACCTCTAGAATAATTCAAGACATTGACTCTCTTCTTGCTGGTGCTGGGAAGTGAAGGCCTTCATTGTGCACCTACCCAGCACTGTCCCAGCTGTCCTGGGTGTGTGAGGGCTGCGGCAGCTTACAGTGTGGCCTGACCTGCTGTGTGATGTGGTGTGGATAGGGGAGAATGGGCCAAGTGCTGGGGTACAGTATATGTGGCAGGGCTGGTCTGGCAGTGCTAGTTGTAATTGTAAGGGTGTACTGAATTTCCACTGGAACCGTGTAACTTCACTGTGGGACAGGCTTGTTTCAAATTGCTCAAATGATGGCGGGCGAGGAGGGGCAGTTTTCACAGTGAAAGCATCCTTTTGTTCAGAAGTTTGTGCCAAGTAGTTAGGGATTGAACAGAGTTGTCCAAACGGTTCCTGTTTACTGTTTTCTAATAAAACACGTATTCAAAAAGTGCTCAGCCCGTCTTTGTGCGCGGTCACTCGGCGGTGCGTGCCGTGCCAAGTGATGAAGCACCAGCCATCCGCTGCGGTTTTGTCCCGCGGAGTCGCAACGAGCCTTAGTCCGGCTGCAAAAACAACGGCGTCCGTCCCGCCGCTCCCCTCACCCCGCCGCTCCCCTCACCCCGCCGCCGCGCGCGGAACGCGAGCAGGAGGCGGGAAGCGGCCGCTCCCGAGCCGCGCTCCCGGCGTGCTCCGCGGCCACGCATGCCTCCTCGCTCCGCGCCTCTTCGCGCGGCGGAGGCGAGCGGGGGCCGGGCGAGCCGCGGGCGGCAGCCGCTCCTCAGGTGGGTGCTGCGGCCGGCCGGCACGGGGCGTCCCTCGCAGCGCGCGGAGCCACGCCACGAGCCGCGCCGGGCCGGCCGCCGGCTCCGCGGCACGTTGGGCTTCCCTCGCCGCCCGCCGCGGGGCCGGGGCTCGCCGTGCCCCGTGCCGGAGGGGCCCCGCAGCCCGGTGTTGCGGATGCGGCGGCGGAGGGCGGGGCTGCGACCGTAGCGCTCGGACGGGAGCCGGGCGAGGGCCGCGTCCCGCCGCCGCGTTCCTCTTGGCGTCTGTGTCGCTGCGTTGTTGCCCGCCGGACGGCCGCGTCCGCAGCTGCGGGTGGCGGAGGGCGAGGTGCGGAGTGCTGCTGTTTCCCGGTGGTCGCAGTTACGAGGCGTGCTGACGCTTTGTCCGCTTTTCTCTTCGGCCTCCCTCAGCCCTGTGAGCCCGGCGTGCGTCGGCGCGGCGCACCGCGCGCGTTGTGCCGGCAGCCGTCGCGGGTGGCTGGGTGCTCACAGCTGCTGTGCGGGACACTGCGCGGCTTCGGCTCGTGTCTTCAAGGGTAATTATAAGCTTTTCATATAATTTAGTGTCAAATCATGTTTTCAAGCAGACTGTAGTGTTATAAGAGATCCCCGTGGCCTTCTGACTTCTGGTATAAAAGAAACAGTAGAGTTTTATTCATTCCTGTTCATGTGTCCGACGACTTCTTGTTAAACTGGAGCAGAAGTTGTGCAGGGTGACAGTATTTCCAAATGGTGCTTTTGGCCATTGGATTATTTTGCTTTTATAGCATGAGCTGAAAGGCATCTTTGAGTCAGATTTTTCCCCAAACACATCTTTTGCAGCTTGAGTATGAATATCTACTTCTGTTGGTAATTTACGGTGACGGCAGCGCATTTTCTTCTATAATTTCCTTAAACAAAATTAAATTTGCAGTCAGTATCTGGCCATATAGGCAGAGGTTATGATGAATCCCTATAAGAATGTCATGAGAAGTGACAGCTCTGAACAACACTGTGTAACAGCTGTGCATGGGCTTTGTGCAGACCCAGCCTGCTTCCAGCATGCTAACTGCCGAGCACCCCCAGCCTTCAGCTGGGAAGTTAGCTTCCTGAGTATTCTGGTGATGTGCCTCCATTTCCCACTTTCTTTTTTAAGAAATGTGTACGCTCAATAATTGTGCTTTCTGAGATTTGCAGTACAGAAGATTGTTATTGCAGTGTTTTGTAAAGTCTAAAAACCATTCTGTCTTCAGACAAAAAAGATTTCTAGTTAAATATTAGATATATAATTTCAGAGATAATTTTGATTGAACAGAATTTTGCTTTTTCTGGTCAGGTCTTGCTGCAAAATATTTATACTTCTGCTTCTGTACCTAGGATGTGGCTTGATTTTTTTTCCATGGGGAGCAGTCGTTTTCATTTGTAAGAGGTGGCAGAGACTGTTATGAAAGGGCAGTTTTGCTATAGACATACTTGGCTATGGGTAATCTGAAGGGAACACTTTTTATATTTTTTGACTGTTATTCTCTTAAAGAGTTTGCAATGCTTTGTGCAGCACTGATGCTTCCAGTGCCTGGTTTGTTTTACGTAGGCATGAAGAAACTGGTTTTGGTCTTTCCTGCATTGGACCCAACTGGATACAGCAACTCCTCCCTACTGACTGCACAGACCACATTTTCTACTGGAAATAAGTAACTGCAAAAATGTGTTGTCTTACGCCCAGGGTAAGTTTGGTTCTCAATATCGACATGATTTTTATGAATATGCTGCTGCAACAGTTCTTCTGAAACTGGTTTCTTAGAGAAATTTCATGACTGTTAATCTAGGTTGATATGATGGCTATTTTTTTTTTGAACTTTTTTGAGGCTATTGCTCTTTGTTTCTTCAAATTGAATTTATTCAGAAATATACAGAATATTATAAATCCCTCTCCAAAAAATGTCAGTTCCAGTTTGTTTGAGGAAGTATTATGTGTCTGCATGTGTATTCAGAAGAGGCACAGCACAGTCATGGTTAACAAGCTCTAAACTCCACCTGCTTTTTTACATGTTATGCAAAGCCCATGTATTATTCATATGTTCTTTGCTTTTTTTAACCTTTTCCAAATAAATGGCTTGTTGTGCTTTTTTTCTATGAAGATCAATGTCAATCATGCCTTGTGGATAATTCTACAATAAACAGGCATGTAAATAAGCCAGAAAAAAATGTTTTACATTTTCTGGGGCTTATGACTGATAATAAATTTAAAATCATAAATACTGTCTTTTAACAATAGAATTATGCATTTTAAAATTCGTTTTTAAAGGAGGTCTGATGCATTCAGGAAAAGCCTTTTTAGAATAAAAGTTTACCTGGTGTAGCAATAAGATGAGCAAGATTCCACGTGTTTCTCAGAAATAGCGGCCGATTAGGATGTGTGCTTTGAAACTGTGCTCAGTCTCCAGGGCTGCCCAAAAATACAGAAGAGCATAACAGATGGTTAGAATTGATACTGTGCTTTAAGATCTCCTTTCAGTGCCTTTTTAACACAACAAAGCTACAGAGTGTATGTTTTATGGGAGGATATATTTTTTTCCAAGTGCTTCTTTTTTTTAATATTCTCACAGAAATAAGTACTCTGTTTTTATAATCCAGGTATCTTGTACTGGTTTCTTTGCAGGGTAGGGGTCCTTTGGACCTTGGAATCCCCTTGAAATTTCTTATGAAGTGTCAAGCAGTTATTAAGGGTAGGGACTTTTGAGAAGTTGCGTTGTACGATTCATAACAGGGCTTCATAAGAATTACAGAGCATAAATATTACTTAAGGACTTTTAAGTGATTATTAATACAACAAGCAGTGCCTGTTTTTTCACATTAGAATGGTCAGCTTTTGAAAAACAACATTACTGGGATTAGTTTGCTTTTTTTTTTTTTTCTTTTTTTCAGAAAAGAGCTGTTATGAAGTTAATGTAGGAAATAGTAGGTGATGCCTGGAAGTAACAGCTGCTGTGAAAAGCATATGTAGTTTTGTTTTGTAAGAGGTAGATTTGGGTTACCTCAGGTTGATTGAATAATGCTCCCTTTGTGTTTATGATAGTTCTTATTAGTTGTTGTATTTTTTGTTTATTTTGTTTTGTTTTGTTTTAGTTTTTTTAGTTATTCTTAATGCTTTTTCTAATTGCTAGTGTCCAAGACAAACAAGAACTAGCTCAGAAAAGGGCATTGTGTTGATAATAAATTTACAGAGTATATAAATGAAAATAGTGGTTTAGGATACTAGTTCAGAAAGTCAGTTTTAACACCTGTGGCATGGAGGGATTAGAGATTGTTGAGGAACCCTGAAAACTGAATCTTTTTCTCTGTTGCTATAGTGGAAGGTATTCAATTTGATGAGTAACTTTGAATTTAAGAGCAGGGGGAATCTTGAAATATATCCATTATCATATCATAGACGTGACTCAAATTATTTTGTGAAACTGAAGATTTCAGAAAGCGGAGTTAGAGCTATCTCTGTTACCAAGCTGCATGTTCTTAGTGGAACAGGACAAGCATTTTAATTTAGATCTGTCACATGGATTGAGTTGACTGAAACCAAAGGTTCTCTAGAAATATTAAACATGAGCGTTTAATATTTCTAGAGAATTTGTTTTCTTATGCTCATTTTAGTTGTGATGACAAATGCTTTGTGCTATTGGATTTTTTTTTTTTCTCTTTAATACTGTGTTCTTTCTGACATTTACAGAACTGAAGATACATAGGACAATGCACAGTGGTGGCATTTTGCATGCTGTCACATGGTTTTTGCCATGGCATCTGAGACTGAAAAGGCCCATGCTCTTCTCCAGACTTTCAGCGCAGCTTCAGTTATTTCTAGCCTAGGTTTGGGAATATTCTGCTTTGCAGCAGACAGACTGCTTCAGGTTTCCTTTGTTCAGCAGAATGACTGGCTCCGAGCCTTCTCTGATAATGCAGTGCACGGTATACTGGGAATGTGGTCCTGGGCCATAGTGATTGGCCTCAGGAAGAAAAGTGACTTCACTGAAGTTACGCTGGCTGGCTTCCTTGCCTCTGTCATTGATGTGGACCACTTCTTACTTGCTGGCTCCCTGTCGTTAAAGGTAAGGGAGTGGCTTGGTGGATGCATATTTTCTTTACAGCTGTTTACTTTATTGTTCTACTGTATCCTGAACAAAAAAAGTTTCAGTGATGATACAGTCTGGTAATCTTTTAAAAGATATATGGGAATTTTTATTTTTATATAATTGATACTGATTTTAAAACAAAGAAATGCTAAGTTCTGCCTTTTAAGAGCCTCTGAAAAAAAGAAGTTCTGAAAGCCTCTTTAAGACAATATCCCATTGGTATCAAATAGGAGTTTTCTTATTCAAGTTAAGCAGGTAAGTGCTGCCATACATGCTTTGTGTGTAAAGTGGATTATTCCATTTCATTTTACAGGAGAAGTAGAAATCTAGAAAGTAGATTGTCCATCTGTTAAGCTGTCCTTTGGAACATGACCTTCCAATATGCATCTTGTTCTGAATCTTCTGGGAACTCTCTAGGCAGAAAAAAATGTTTTTCAGTGAGGGTTGAGAAATGCTGGAACAGGTTGCCTAAAGAGGTGGTGGGTACCCTGTCCCTGGAGACATCCAAGGCCATGCGAACTAGTCTAGCTGTGGATGTCTTTGTTCATTGCAAGGGAGTTGGCCTAAATGACCTTTAAAAGTCCCTACCAAAAATGATTCTATGATTCTATGTTCTGTTTCATTCAACTAGTCATACTGAGAAGTGGTATATTTGGTTTTAGTCATTTCTAAACATTTTTCCTATCCCCAGCAGTTCACGACCTGTTCATCTTCAAAAAGGCAGACTGAGTTTGGCTTTAAATATAGTTGATTGTAAAAGAGAATTAAGAAAGTGTCAAACTTGTTAATAAAAAGGAGAAAAATGAACTGATTCCTGCTAGTGAGTATGTGTGACCTTCATCCATTTGCAGAACTACCTTTTAGGACACAGTTTCTCAATAGAATTAGTATTCCCAGATACGCATTATGAAGTTTTCCAGTTGTTCTCCAGTGTTTTGTGTTCTATTCCTATTCCCTAATCTTATGTGCTTTAGGCATGTATGCCCAGCTTTTTGAGAAAACATCAGTCTGATCTGTATGTTCTCTGAATGCTGGCATATTCCAAGATCTCCAGCAACGCCTGCTCTGACCACACCTTTCAGCACTGCCCTCTAGATCTAACACAGCCAGATACTGCTTGTCCATGGCAGGCTCGTAGTCCCTGTAGATGAAGCCATGCCACTCTGCTGCTTGTTAGAAATAATTAGCTGTGCTCAGCAGCACAAGTCCTTATACCCTGAGCTGATGTTCTGGCATGGGTATTGGTACATGTTACTTTGCACAGGAGAGTAAATACTTTTCCAGTCAGCAAGTGGGAAGGTTGTTTGACTGTCTTGCCTTCTTTTTTTTCTTCCTCGTAGCTTGGAGTAGAATTAAATTATTCTTATGGATGACAGAGGATATAAAACACAGCAAGTAGAGGCAGAAGAGGAAAGAAAGGAACGGAAGGAAGACTGCTGTTCTTTGCAGTCCTTTAATTAGAGAACAAAAGTCTGAAATGGTTTACCTTTTCTTCCTTCTAATGTGCAGAAGACACATGTATACAAGAAGCATTACTGGTAAATAGTAATATTTACTGGGCTGTAAAAACTAGACTTCCACTGGAAAAACAGTGGGGTTTTTTTGTTTGCATACAGTATCGGTATTTGTTTTAAGTAAAAGACTTTTTCTTGTTGGTGAGTTTGGTAGACCTTTTAATGTGATCAGTTCTCCATTTCTCTTTGACAAAGAAGGTGTTTTCACAGAATTTCAAAATGACTGAGGTGGCAAGTTGCCCTTGGGTCTGTGTGGCCACCTCTGAGCTGTTCCCTGGTTCCCTGCTCCATCAGGGCCATTCCAGATCAGGTTCCCAGGACAGTGTCCAGGTGGCTTTTGAAGATCTCCAGGGAAGGGACTCCACGGCCTCTGGGCAGTTTGTGTCAGTGGTCAGTCACCAGCACAGCAAAGAAGTGCTTCCCGATAGGCTGATGGAACCTCCTGTGTTCCAGTTTCACCTCTTGCCTCTTGTCCTGGCACTAAGCACCACTGAAAAGACACTGGCTCCATCCTTCTTGTGTCCTTCTTTCAGATAGTTGCAGAACTTCAGATCTGCCTCCCGTTAACCTCTTCTTCTCCAAACTGAACAGTCCCAGTTCTCTCAGCTTTTCCTCATGAGGGAGATTTTTCTTTTATTACCCTTATGGCCCTTCACAGTCTCCTGTAGCTCCATCTTTCCCTTGTACCAGGGAGCCCAGAACTGATACAGTAACTCTAGAGGTGGCCTTAGCAGTATTGAAGAGAGGGGAAGCAGCACCTCTGTTGACTTGCTGGCAGTGCTCCTCCTGTAGCCCAAGACACCATGAGCTTTCTTTGCGATGAGGACAAACTGTTTGCTTGTTCAGTGCAGCATCTGCAAGGACCCTAGGCCCTTTTCTGCACAGCTGTTGTCTGTATTGTTGGCCTTCAGTATATACTGCTGCACAGTGTTGTTCTTTCTTAGGTAGTCACTGATTCTCCCCTTTTCTGTGCTTTTTGATATGGAAATACCACAAAATTTAAAAAACAGGAAAAAAAAGGAAAGTTCATTTGATTATTGAGTCCTGTAATGTCTTATTGCAGCAGTTAAATATATTCTCATGCATATTTCTTATTTTAAAGTCAATAAACACAAGTAATGTGTGATTTTAGACTTGTTATTTTAGACTTTATTAAGAAGTATTTTTTAAAATATTCATGCTGCTTTTTCTGGTAGTTGAGATTAGCACTAATATTTTTTAATAATGACCACTAGGTGACACTCTCCACCAGTGATGGTTTAGAAAATGGAATTGCATCATGGAAAGGAAGACTAACCAGTTTTCTTAATTGCCTTCAGAGAGGCCAGTGAAAATCTGTTCACTTAATGTGATGGAGAATATTTGTGTATATCCCAAAGTAAATTATTGAAATCTTTTGAGTTAATTGAAAAAATACAGGAAGAAATTTCCAAACAGCTAGATTTTTTTTTTTTCTAACATTCAGCTTAAATTACCAACGTTGGATGGTTAGATCTTGTTTTTTTAAGGCCTTTCTGAGAAAGATGTCTGGTTGTTTTGCTCTTTCCAAATTTTTTTTTACAAATTACAAATACAAGCACTGCAGGCAGGATAGCCCTTGAGTAGCCATACTTGTATAGATGAAAGTAAGAAGGCAAGATGACCAAAAGCCTTGTCATAGTCACTTGCACACTTATCTCTTTCTTCCTGCATAGGTTAATTGGGCTAATAAAGGATGTTTCACCCATAAACTATACCCTGTTTAAGGTCTCCTTACAGGAGCAGCGTTAATCTTACAGCTTGAAAAACGTATGCTTTGCAACAGGTTTCTTAACTGAGTAACTCGCAAAAGAAAGCTACTGCACCTGGATTTTCTAAGCCTTCTGCCATTTATCTGGCCTCCTCTGAATTGCTGTCTGACTAAATTATCTCTAAAGGATCCTGTCCCAAACTATATACAGAATTTTGCAAAACCAGCTTAGATTTGAGTCAGGTAGCCTAGATTACTCCCTTTTACTATCACTTGCAGTTCTGTCTTTTTAAAAATGAAAAATCTGTTACAAGTTTTCTGTCTTCTTACACTGCCAGCAGTTTTTTTAGTTAGTGATCTAGTGTCATCCTCATAAACTTTTCTGCCTGACCAGCTAAACTTGATTTTTAATATGTGATTTTTCCTTCTGCAGCTTAATATCATACCACTTTCTGTTTTGTGTCGTAATTTCAGACTGTTGCCTGTACAGCTCATTATTTCATGGAACGCCTTTTTACGTTCATACATTCATGCGTTAGTTCCAGTCCCACTCTCCCTCTTCATATTTCTGGATTGAAATAACTGATTTATGAGACTACAGCGTTTATTGCTTAAGCAACACATTACCAAGGAACTAATAAATTAAGAAATCTAGTTAAGTAACCACACCACTATTACTAATTTATAACAGTAATATCTTTTACATTGTTATATGCCATTTATTTTAAAGCTCTTAATCATCATAATTAAATCTGATGATTGGTTACTTTTTTTCAAGTAATTCTTGTATGCAGCACAAGGCAGTATTACCATCTGCTGTGAGTTGCTACCATCAGCTTCCTCTTTTTGTTCCTGCTGACACAGCTTGTTGGGTGATCTATTTGGCTATTGTTTCATCATTGTTTTTTCTGGAGTACTTAGGGTAAACAGTCACCTGTGTATTTATATGATTTATACCCAATACAGTGATAAATACTTGTGTAAGTAACATTTGGTATGACCTTTTGCCCACGTTGTTTTTTGGCAATAAGTGTGAAGCCTACAAAGACTTCCTAGAATTTGTACTTCAGCATATTCCAGGTAGTTTTCACTCTGTATAATTGCACACAAAGGTACAAAAGTCTGAGAATTACTGAACCTGCCATCATGTTCAGCTTTGCTGATAAACTAGAGTGACATGATGGGTTAAAAGTGATACAGGCGTGATGTGCATGAGAAGTCTCCACCAGTACTATAGTTCAAATACTCATGTTGCAGAATAGATGTGTGGAAATTGCTAGCTTGCTAATTGAAAATTACCAGCTTGTGAAAGTGTAGAAAATGCAGCTAGTGACACACAGGCTTTTGTACTGGCAAACATACATAACAGATGTTTATTAAGCCACTGCTGACTCAGTCCGGGCTGCAGTGGAACATTTCTGGAGAATAAGCTTTGCACACACACAGTGAATTTAAGATTAAATTTACAAATATGGACTCAATACTAATGACCTCAAGCTTCTGAAGCATCACAGAATATGAGTGCTGAAGCCCATGTCATTAGATAAATTCATTGGTATCCTCATGTGCATTAAAGTAGAGTTTCCTTGAGTTGTTCCACATGTGCTTTGAGTCTCCTGTCTCCAGCTCACTGTGGTTGTGAGAGGGGCTGGGGGAGCAGGACTTTAAGGAAGATTTTGCAACTAGCTGAATGTTAGGTATATGAAAAAGGTCGTTTGTGTTATGAATAGATTTCATTTGCAACTGTAGCCGAGTCTTTCTCATGGTAGACATCTGCCTCAATCTGGCCAACTAAATTGACTGGTAGCTTATATTACCAAACAGAATGACGTCTCTCTCTCTCCTGGGCCTAGCAAGTCAAGGATGTTAATGTCAAATCACAAAATGGCATGGGCTGGGTTGGAAGGGACCTTAAAAAAAATCCAGTTGTAGCCCCTTCCATGGGCATGGCTGCCACTTACCAGCTCAGGCTGCCCAGAGCCCCACCCAACTTGGCTTTGAACAGCTCCAGAGATAGGACATCCACAGCTTCTCTGGGCAGCCTGTGCCTCATCTCCTGAGTAGAGTTTCCTCTTCACATCTAACTTGAATCTCTTTTATTTTAAAAATATTTCACCTTGTCCTATCACTATCTGTCTATGCAAAAAGTCAATCTTCCTCCTGCCTTTAAACTCCCTTTAAGTATTGGATGGCTGCAGTGAGGTCACCCCAGGGCCTTCTCCAAGCTGAATAAACTCAGCTCCCTCAGCCTTTCTTCGTAGGAGAAGAAGAAAGAAAGAGATAACAGACTATTCTCTGAGAATTTCAGCTACAGCATTTTGGTAGCCTAATGACTGTACTTTCTGTTTTACAAAATAGGGGTTTTTAGTAACAAAAGTCTGACTCTTTATAGGATAGATGACAGTTTACCCATGACAAGATTGTTGCACTTTAATCCCCTAACAGTCTGCTTGCATGAAACAAAAATAAATCTGTAGAAAATATACCCATTGTACCAATTTAAAGAATTTGGGCCTATATCCTTATAATTAAAAGGTTGAGATGTTTTTTGTTGTTGTTCTTCTTTGTATTTGTGAAGTTTTTAGTCCTGTCATTTTTCTCAGTCTTTCAGTAAAATGCTATCGTTTCCCTTGTACTTACACGAAGAATCAACTTACTCATTTCTGAAATACAGAATTTTTTTGTGTGTCTTTTGAGTTTGTGGAAGTGATTATGACTGTTGCTATACTAGTAAGTACATCCGTAGTATTTTCTCAATACATTTTTAATTGATAACTATCATTTCTTAAATTTGATATCTTCTGTAGTGTGTAATCCCAGTAGCTGGACACTTAATTAAAACCCAGACTTAGGCTTTCACCTGAATTAACATTAAGGAAACTGTTAATTAAAATCAGAAATGATTCACGTAATAGATTCTGATTGTAGCATTTCTCTGCTCATGAAGAATACTGTGTCAAGGCAAATAAAATACATATAACATCAGTATTTTTTATTATATTGGAAACTATGTCTCTATTAGATACAGTCAAACTAGAACTTTACAGGTAGTAAATGAAATGTAATACAGGATGTGTTTTTGAAAATAAATACGAATAGATCGCATTAAATATTTCAAGCACATTGTATGGTTGTTTTCCTTTTTATTATCTTAAGTATATATAATCAGTGCAGCCTACAGGTTCCAGTATGCCCTGTGACTACATGACAAATAGCATATTCTATACCTCTCCCTTCCTCTGCTTCCATTAGTATTCTTAGCAGGATGTATGATTCAGACAACAGAGATAAAATTGTCCCAGCACCCTCAGTCCTGCTGCTTACCTGACTGTTCATGTTGTTGATTTTGATCAACCACAGTAGAAAGGAATGATGTGTTTTTCTTTGCACTTCCACCTCGCCAGATGGCATTACACATGTGAACACACATGAAATCTTTCTTTCTTGCCATGACTGTAGCCGTTGCCAATTACATTCTTCTTTTCTGCAGGCTGCTCTGAGTCTTCCCCGGAGACCACTCCTTCATTGTTCTACTGTGATTCCTGTTGTGGCTCTGACATTAAAGCTTATTATGCACCTCTTTAGGCTTAAGGACTCGTGGTGTTTTCTTCCTTGGATGTTGTTTATATCCTGGACTTCTCATCACGTCCGTGATGGGATTCGTCACGGCCTTTGGATCTGCCCATTTGGAAAAACTCCTCCTTTGCCATACTGGCTCTATGTGGCAATTACAGCATCTTTACCTCATCTATGCTCATTTATTATGTATTTAACGGGAACTAGAGAATTAATGTCTATAAAACATGGAATCCACATTGATGTATAAGGATGATGTATCTTAGTCTTCTGTAACGCACTTGAAACAGGCTGTGTTTGTCACTGGAATGGTTTTCTTATGTTTCCTGCGAATTTCAAGTCAGGCATTTGAAGCCAGTAGAATTCCTATGTCAGTTCCTTGTGATCAAAGTAACTTGTCCCATTGATGGCATTAACATTTCATATCTGTGCATTCCCCTTGTAAATTATCTGCTCTTCCGTTACTATTCATATATAGCTAGCTTTTAATGAAGTACTGATTAATGAAGTACTTAATATCACTGTAGTAATTGCATTATATTTTGTTGGTGCCATTCATTTGATCACCATACATTCTAGATTTGGAGTCTTCCTACATTTCATCTAGATAGCATTTGTATAGTACTTTAAAAACGAAAAGTTATGTATAGATGCTAAGTACTTGAATTTTGTAGTTCATCACACTTCTGAAAAACACCAGTTAGGCTTTTGAAGTAAGTTATTTGTTTTCCTGCTGGGCTCTGGTATTCAGCAGTTTTAAAAGAAATGCTATTTGTATTTCAAAACATAAAGTTGTGGGTCTACATCAGTTTGAACGCTATTATAATACAGTGTTTATATAAATTCTGTTCCACCATTGTTATTTGATACCCATTTGGCAGATGGTTACTGATTGCTAATAATTAGAAAGGGAGAAGACAATAGTTACATTATTATGTGTGTCAACTGAAGTGCTTAATTTAAAATACATTAATTATGAATACTTAAATTGAAGGTAGGGAATTTAAGTAAATATTTAAGGCGTATGTAGGGGAAACTTGTTTGTTATACTAAAATATAAGCTTTAAGAAGATTCTGAAAGTTGCAAGAAAAAAATTGCTTCAAATTTTGATTAAAGACCTTACTACTCTACTAAAATATAGCATTTTCCCTTAGGTGCAGTATCAACCTTACTGCAAAGTAAAATGCATTATTGTTACAGTGAAATAGAACTTCCTCATAAGTAAGTTTCTTAAAGAAAAATATGAGTATGTTGCAAGTTGATAACAGTAGCTATGATTATGCAGCAGGTGCTTCACTACTCGCTAAGTAAAGAATTTTGCCCTAACGTCTAATCTAAATATACCTTATTTTAGTTAAAACCATTCCCCCTTGTCTTATCACTATCTGCCTGTCTTAAAAGTCAATTTACCTCCTGTCTATAGGATTCCTTTAAGTACTGGAAGGCCAGAAGGAGGTCTGTTCTTTAGCGTCACTGGTTTTGACTTGGGTCTTTGGTTGGACCAACTTTACAGGATTGTCTTTTCCAGTCCTGAACGATCACCTCTCATCTTTCCATCCCCAGAGCTTTGTTGCATAAGGGACACCTGCGGGACAAGAGGGAGACGATGACTCCTGCTCCCAGTAGAGAGGAGGTTCCAGTTTCCTTCTTCGTGCATGTTTTTGCTGTTTTTCTCCTCAAAGTTGGAAGCTAGCTTACCTACTGCTTGCAGGGACTTAAGACGAGGTTGTCAGTGTCATTGAACAATACCAACATCTGTCTGATTCACTATGCTGCCTGGTGATGTCCTCACACAACCTGGCCACCTGCTCAGGAAGTTCATCAAGCTGGGCACACTTGCAGCCATGACATCTCCTTCACTCAGGCTCTAGAAGGACTTCCAGATTCTGGAGTTTGCCACAACTGGAGGTCTGGGCAGATCTGTCTTTCCTTAGGAGCTCCATCTGGGTGCATGCATCAGCCCAGAATAGCTGTGGCCCTCCAGCCTGTGTTTCTGCCTGAGCTCAGCCATGGTGGCAGATGGTCACCATGTTTGTTTCAACAGAGTGCAGCTCCCTGCTGTTCTCAGAAGAGAAAGGAGCAGGCTGCCTGCTGGGCTGTGGCCACCCTTCCTGTTTGAACTGCCATGCAAATTGCTTTGCCCTGTTTGCTAACTCAGGTAGTCATGCTTCTTATTGCTTGTCCTTGGGTCTCCTCAATTTCAGGGTCCCCCTTCTCACACCATGATCCCCTGCTCTACTGTAGAACACACCTGTACTGGAGCTGACTGCCTCAGAAAATGAAGTCCAGGATACATTTGGCCTTCTGGGCTGCAAGTGCACACTGCTGGGTCATGTCCAGCTTTTTGTCCACCAGGATCCCAAGTCCTCCTCTGCAGGGCTGCTCTCTGTGAGTTCTTGGTTCGTGATCCTGGAGTAATCTTGCAGTAACATGCAAAAAAACTTGTCTCCTCCTACGCTTCAGAAATACATGATGAATTATAAGTTTATGTGTTCTGTATTCCTTTATCCGAATATTAGAGGTATAATTTCATAAGCTGTAACCTGCATTAAGTCATTAGCCATGTGTTTCTGACATGACATGCAGAGATACTGGAGGAAGCCTTATCTATTACTAGAAAAGGTAAAAGCTATAGGGACTGAATTTCATGAAAGGATTCATCAGACTGCAAAGGAAGGTAAAAGTGTTGGATTAATCTTATCAGTCTGATCTCAGATAATACCTGACCATTTTCAGATCTGAAAATCTGGAAGTAAAGCTTCAGTGCCATGGGTAACCTTCAGAGTCAGCCTTGGAAACAGTCTCACTCAGCTCAGCCTGAGGTTGGCATGGGATAGTGTTCCTGACATCTTGGAGAAAGAGTGCTGTGTGTGTGTGATGCAGGGACAAGCAGAACAGAGCTGGGCAGTTTGTTTAAGCCTAGAAAATTAAATAGAATAGAATATTCTTTCCGCATCTCACTGCCTTCTCCATCTTTTCTCCTTTTCTGTTAACCTTGTATTCTTCCTGAAGTGCAAGATTTTACAATAATCATTGTGTGGAGTCACAGTTTTAGTGTTTTTTAACTTTAAAGTGCCACAGGCAGTAGCATACTCTCCAGAGCTTAAAACATTGGTAACACAGAAAGCACTTGAATCTTATTTCTGAGTAGAAAAAAATACAAGATTTGACAAGTTTCTGTGATAACTTATGCCATTAGGCTAATTGGTCTTTCTTACTGATTTGTTTTGCAGAGCTCTGTAAGACACTATAGTAACCTTATGTAAAAGGCTCCACAGCACTAGCCTTCTATTTTGCAGCTCTGAGAAACACAGAATAAGCAGAAAATTGTTATAGCTGTGATATGGTCATTCATTGTTCAGCTTCATTGAGAAGCACCTAGAAAATGTTTAATGCAGAGGCTTGGTATCAGGCAGGAACTTTTATGTAAGCGCTCACAGAATCATAGAATCACAAGGTTGGAAAGAACCTACAAGATCATCTAGTCCAACCATCCCCCCATTACCACTGCTACCACAAGCACTAAACCATAACTCGTAGCTCCTCATCCAGACTGCCAGGGATGGTGACTCCACCGCCTCCCTGGACAGGCCATTCCAGTGCCTGACCACTCTCTGAGAGAAAAAGTTTTGTGGATCTTAACCATGTTTACACATCTGTTTTTACAGAAACAAAGAAAATTCATCAGCTTTAGAATCAAATCAAACAGAAGGTAAAACTAAACTGAAAAAGAGGAAGATAGCTGAAACATCTAATGTTATCACAGAATCGCTGCCATCTGCAGAATCAGAGCCTGTTGAAATTGAAGTTGAGATTGCTGAGGGAACAATTGAAGTGGAAGAAGACAGCATTGAGACACTTGAGGAAGTAGCTTCTGCAGAGCAGTCCATAAAGTACATACAGACAACGGGCACATCTGATGAATCTGCTTTGGCTCTTCTGGCAGATATCACTAGCAAGTATCGTCAGGGAGAGCGAAAATGCCAGATCCAAGAAAAAGTTGACAGTGCAGCTGATCCTTCATGCAAACAGGTAGAAGGTATTGAAATTGTGGAACTTCAACTGTCACACATGAACAATTTATTCCACTGTGAGAAATGTAACCGTTCATTTAAATTGTTTTACCATTTTAAGGAACACATGAAAACACACTCTACTGAGAGTTACAAGTGTGACATATGCAATAAAAGGTACCTACGAGAGAATGCTCTGAAACAGCACCTCACCTGTTACCACCTTGATGAAGGTGGTGCCCCTAAGAAGCAAAGACCTGGCAAAAAAATACATATATGCCAGTACTGTGATAAACAGTTTGACCACTTTGGGCATTTTAAAGAGCACCTCCGGAAACATACAGGTAAGAGCACTGCTATAGTCATGTACTTGTGGCTTCAGCTCTGGCACTTTGGGTTTTTGCATATTTTGAGGAAGCGGAGAATATGATGAAGAGAGCATGTGAGTGCTAGAAATACTGGGCTTCTAGTTAACATTGTAATTGAAGAATCGTAGAATTATATTTATGATTCTGTGGTGGTGGTTTTTTCCTGTTGATATAAACTGAGGAATTGAGATTTTTTTAATTATTAAAAATAGACCTAAAGCAGAAAGAGCTAATGAAGCTCCTCAAGTGTATTAAAAACTGTTATTCATGATTTTGTGAGGCATGTTTACTTCTTTTAAAGTACTACACTGAGTAGCTACTTCTGTTTTTACAATTCTACTGATACATTCTTCTGCTCGAACAGAATCTGAACTTTGAGCATGTCAGTGTGAAATACCTCACGTTGCAGTATTATCCTTGCTCTTGTCATCTGCAATTAGATTTTATTTGTTAATTAACAGCAAAACATTTCTACTGACTGCATAGATTTGTGTTATTGTAAAGCCTGCCTTCTTGAAATCTGAATAGTGTCTTCCGACTGCAGGATGACTCATGCTCCTTCTTTCTTCCTTATAGCATGGGAGATTCATCCCATTGAAATAACTGTCTGAATGGATATTAAGCACTATGTAGATAACTTTTTGAGTGTAAACTATATGATCTTCCAGATGATTTTGTTTAATATGTCAATAAGAATTTGATGGAGGGCAGTAGCTCTATTTCCTCGCAGTTTGTCATTGTTACAGCCTTTTAATTGGAACTTCAAATCTGTGTATGGGACACCTGAATCTTGTCTATGACATTATATTTAGTCTATTCTATTCCCTTCTAATCCCTTCTATTTCTATTTGAAATTTGCTTTTGTAGAAAGTCCTTGGGAGTGTTTCTTCACTATGACTGAACTTACTGCAGGCTATATAACACAAGTATTTTCAGATAAAAGTTTGTGGCAGATTAATAGTAAGTTAGATATCTCCTTCAGGTGGTAGCTGATGTCGCAGGATTTTGGGACAAAGCAATTCAGCAGAGAACTCAAAGCAGTACAGAGAAGTATCAATATTTATTGGTACAACTATTGGTACGACAATAGAATTTAATTACTTTTAGTTCAGCGTTTTGGAATCATTGGCCTTAAAATCATACCTTATTATACCACTTATTTGTGGTCTCCTAAGGCTAGTGGGAAAAATCCCACTGACCCAGGGGCATGTATAGAATTTGTTGAATGCTATGTAAAATGAAATGAAGTGTTCAGGGAGAAAATGTCCTATGAACTATCTCATCCTAGTACTTTCTGAATTGCAGCACCAGCAATAACATTAAAGTAGCAGATGCAGAAGAAATAGTTTGTTAATTCTTTTTGATGTTCTTTACTGTTCTTTGTCTCAGTAAAAGAAAGTAGAAAGGACAGCCACAGTGCTTCGTGCTTCTCTCCAACACGTATGTACGCTGCCTGAAGAACTTTCTTTTTCTTTAAAAAAAAAATTTAAAAAAGATTGTCATCAATACTGCCTGCATGTCTTCTGGAAGTACTGACAGAGTCATCTCCAGAATTCATAAAACAGATTTTTTTGGTGTGGCGTAATGATTATCTCTTTTTCCTCCCTCCATGAGAATGAATGATATTTCACTTGCCAGTCAGAAATAACACAGGACAGAAATTCTGCAAGGATGCACATACATGGTGTATATCAATTGAAGTCAGTAACAGTAATTTGACTCTTGACAGGAATTTCTTCATACAGAAGTCAATCCTGGATGCTGCTGCTCTCAGTGTGCTTGTCTAATCCTGGTATTTTGCAAAGTATATCCCTTAGCTAAAAGAGACAGAAGAGCTTTGATTTGCTCTGATTTTACTGAGAATTCTGTCTGCTGAATGTTTCTCAAAGTTAAGCACTTGATTTTTATAGCTTTTTTTTTTTTTTTTAAATTTTTATGGAGTTTATGAAGTGAAGATGGAAGTGGAGGAGTTGCACATGTTGTCCACCATCCCTCTGTGCTGTGCAGCCTGGGTTGTGTTGCTGACTCACACTGTGCAGTCACTCACCTTCTTTTGGCCCTTGGATATTGGCACTGTTATCACTGAATTGTCACTCTTGGGTGCATTTGTCAGAATGTGTTGGAGATTACTGCAGAATTTGAGTAGGAGTAGAATAAGTCTGCTGCTGTTGGACAGTGTCTTGCCACAAGAAACTATTTAAATGTGGCCAGATTGCAGACCAAGTGTAGTTCTGTGCTGGGAGTTTTATGCTCTTCTGTCATCTTGACTTATCCGTGTGTAGCTGCTAGTTCAGCATGCTCCACATTACGTATGCAGTACACTCTGAAAAGATTGCCTTTTGTAATGGATACGGGGAATATTCACACCTTTTAACTTTTTCTGTGGCCCCCAGTTGTCTGAGCTAAAATTATTGGCTACTTGTGGATTTCTGTTGAAAAGCTACATAAGCATTTCTGCATATCTTTATTTCCAAGGATACAGATTTATTAGCTTTCCATCCCAGTCAGTGTTGACTATCTTCCTGAAACTGCAGGCTTTTCAACTTAATTTAGCTAACATAGATATTTACATTGTTCACTGAAATGCTACAGCCTTGTTAACTAGTATTTTTTCTGTAGTTACTTTGATGCCAGCTTAATTATCAAACTTTGAGAAGAAACATACTGTTCCTAATTTTTAACGCTTTCATTTCTTTGAACTTCAGTGTGTTTGTGCATGATGAAATTAGTAAGCAGACAGCACTTGTTCTTTGTTACTACTTGATAACAGTCATAGTGACATGCTACCTTTGATGGAAAAGAGCATACTGGACCTGTTTATAGCTCTCCCTGCTGCTTTTAGCTGGCTTCGCTGTGGAAAATGCTCCTGGTTATTGATACCAAGTTGGAAACAAAGTGAACAAAGAGAAATTAATTTTTTATCTTGCTTGTTCCCCTGTATGTCCCCCTCTGATTTCTTTTGGCCTTTTTTTTCCGTTTTTTTTTTTTTTTTTTTTTAATGCTGATACACTGTCACCTTATGACTGATCTCTCTGGGCTCCAGCATGAGCTGTTACTGTTCTTGAAAATAAAACTTGGTGTTTTTTCTTTTTTTTATAATTCCTTTAGTATGTTGCTTTGTATAATTTCTAACATTGAGTCTTCACCTGTAAATATTGGTGAAAAGACAAAAATAGCTGCTATTTCATTAAGATATTTTGACAGAAAAGCAGTTTTTCATACAAACCTAAAATGTGCTTCAAATAGCACCCGCAATTATGTTGGATTGTCTTTTTCTAGATGATACTCATAATTTTACATTAAGCATCTGCCCTCTTATTTGCATGAGTAAAGTTTACACAAATGTCTTTCTCTTATTCTTTAGAATAATCCAGCTGGCCAAGTCTTTATGGCATATTTATCAACTTCTGCAAAAGTGAGAGGAGAACAAGGGAAAGCTGACAGAAGACTGGTTGTTTTTATGCACTTATAAATCCTTGTGTCTGTATTTATAGGTGAAAAACCATTTGAATGTCCAAACTGCCATGAACGTTTCGCTAGGAATAGCACGCTCAAATGTCACTTGACGGCCTGTCAGTCTGGAGCTGGAGCTAAAAAGGGAAGGAAGAAACTGTATGAATGTCAGGTGGGTAATGAGGGTTGCAGAGTATGAGGCTGGACACCTGAATCTTGTACTGAGAATGGGGGCATACTAAGTAGGGAAGGCAAGGGGAGTAGGCTTATGTCAACAAGGACTGTTTTAATACAATAAATATAAGAATCACATTGAACCACGACACACAGATAAATTCTGATAACTAGATAGTTCCATTTAAAATGCAGCATTATTGATATGGGGCTTCATAATATTTTCTTATTATTTCTGCAACCTTTTCAGGGTTCTTGATATACTGAACTAGCCCTTTTCTGCTTGTGTGCATGCCTCACTGAAGTCCAAAATACAAAGTACTATCTAATTTCCTATTTTATTATTCTTCTGTTTGATACTCAATATATTGACTTTATCTGTAAAGTCATTCCATCTTATGATGAGACTCCATAATATCTTATAAGCAAATACAAATGCTGTAGATAGATATACTCATTTCTGTAGCGTCTTTTTGTATCGTTTTCAGGCTACTCATCTCTGTGCCAGCTGAAGGGAAGGAAGTGTGCTCAAAATAATGTGTCTGCAGTCTAAGCAACACTTCTAGCTGGGCAGGACCAGCATGGATGTAGTTATAAGAGATTTTCATCTACAGAGATGTTTTTTTGAAATGACAAAAATCAGGAGTTTAATCTAGCTACTTAAACTTCACAATGCTGTGATCAGAATTTGCTAGAAGTCCTGCACCTAGAATTTCTTTTACAAGACTTCCTGCCCATACTTCTAGCACCAGACACTTAGTGGGACATACTTCTTTATCTAAATTTTACATAGAGTTGAAATAAGCAAAATTCCAAGTGCTGTACTGACTGATAAACTTGGTAGCAGCTCAAAATGACACACTTTTTCTTAATAATAGCTACTCTGTTGATTGAAGCTAGCTTCTCAGCTTTTACCTTTGACATGTGTTGGATTTTTTTTAATCTATGTCTCAAGAAGCTACGCTGTGTGAAGCCATGGACTGAAGTAGGCATTATACTTTGCCATATTCCTGTTGGCACTGTTATCCTCACTGTGTCTTTTGTTTCAGGTTTGTAACAGCGTGTTTAACAGCTGGGATCAGTTTAAAGATCACTTGGTAATCCACACTGGCGACAAACCCAACCACTGTACTTTATGTGATTTGTGGTTTATGCAAGGCAGTGAGTTGAGAAGGCATCTAAAAGACACACATAATATTTCAGAACGACTAGTGACAGAAGAGGTTCTTCCAGTGGAAGCTATGGAAGGTGAACCAGTAACATCAATGACCATAATAGAACAAGTGGAGCAAGTTCATGTCCTACCAGTAATTCAGGTACAAGTGGATCCTGCACAGGTAACTGTGGAACAGATGCACCAGGATCTCATACAGGACAATCAAGTGAAAGGCACACAGATGGATGAACTGCAAGAACAGGTGCAAATTAGTTACCTGGAAGTGGAGCACATTCAAACTGAACAAGGTGCTGAAGTTCACGTGGAGCAGTTGCATGTTGAGCATGTTAATCAAATACAGATGGAAGAAGTACAGGCAGAACTTATAGATGGCACTGACCTTGAACAAGTACAATATGAGAGTGCTGACCAAGGAGAAAAGGAACCTATTTGCATAGATGATGCAGGTAAGGAAGTTCATGAACAGGCTGAAGACTTAAAAACTCAACAGTTAGTGGATATAAAGAAGGAAAAGGTGGACAACTAGGACAGTTAACCACACTGTGCAGGTTTAGGATTAAAATACCAAATTTTTTTTTGTGTTAACTTTTACGTTGATTTTTGAACTGTCAGTGGTCGTCTTTCAAATATGCTGTCCTTTGGAAGCTGGACAAGTGGACCAAAGTTAGTTTTCTTCATGTACAACTGAATTTCTGTCATACGTTAAAAATAACTGTCATTCACGTAATATCACAGAGCAGAAACTACCACAGAAACGGGCAGCTTTGCAAGAATTTTAATAATGAATTGCTTGTATTACTGTTATACCATCGCTGGTTATATGTAGGAATAACTTCACTTCTTTTCTTCTTGGCGTAGAAACAAACTGTTGTTATAGATTTGCAGGGTGTCTGTGACAGAATTATTAGTAAAATCTGGTGGCTTCTCATATAAACGATCCATCGGGTACCCATGAATTTTCTGGGCAGACTGCTTGCTATCCACCTGCAGTGCTGTATCTAGCAGCAGTCCCTCTGTTTCTTTATATCAAGCTGGAACTTCTGAACTTCCATTCTGGGCAAAACCATTTTTGCTGGAGATCTCGGAGCACAAAAATTCTGTGCCTTTTCAACACTGACTGGTGGAATTTCTACAAAGCTCCTGAAGTATTCAGGAACCTAGTTCAGTAAAAGGCAATGTAGGTAATGTTATAGTGCTTTATATTTTTGCTTGAAATTGTCATCTACTGATTTTTTTGCATTAAACTTACTATGAGGAGTGTTGGGGGAAGAACCAAATAACATGGGGATAATAGAACACTCTAAAAGGGACACATTAAAATAGGAAAAGCTCTTTAGAGACTGTGTTAAACATGAGCTGGAGGAAATCTACCGGTAGACTTTTCTTTTATAAATATTCATTTTTGAAAGTGAATATGTTTAAACAAATACAGAGAAGACTTGTCTATATGGTATCGGATTCTTGATTGCTTGTTCTTTTCGAAATGAAGTTCTGACACTTGACACAAAGACATTGTGCTAAAAATAAAAATAAAAAGCCATAGGTATGAGTGCTAAACTGGGGATCGAAAAGGAGAAGTATAAGCATTTTACTTAATATTACACAATAAAACAATACCAACCATGAAATGTTGCACTATTTATCTCATCTGCTAAAGCAGGAACAGTGGAGTGACTGGCAATTATGGTGTCAGATCTCAGTGTTAACAATCAATCTCATTATAGTAATGGGCTCTTAATTTAATTTTAAAACTTATGTTTGTTTAGAAAGTATTTGTCTAGATCTGTGTTCAGCTGTGTTAAGGACTCCTAATTCTCAATTATTGCCTTGAGACTAGAGTTCTATGCTTCTGAAGAACTTTCTTTGCAAAGCCTTAAGTGAAGAGCTTTCAAAGGAAGTTCTCTAATGCACTTAGTAATCCTGTAGCTTTTAGTTAAAATCAAGCTTTTCAATTCTGTCTTCTCCAAAGGCAGGATTATTTCCTGAAATTTGTGCTTTTATTTAGTGTCATACAGAATGATTGTTGTGTTTTATCTTATCCATTGAGAAACTGTTGCAAAACAAACATGGATCTCAATTAAAATTCCCAACAATTTGATTAACGTAACTTGCATTTCTGTCTTGGCTTGCGGAGTAAACAGCTGAATTTATGCAAAATAATACTGATCAGAATGAAGCAGTAGTGACTGGAAAGGAGGGAATGAACAGAAACACATGAGGCATGGCTGGATTTTACAGTGTGAATGTGAAAACAGGCTGGAGTTAGGAGTAGAATTCTGGATTTATTTGCAGTATCCACTAAAAGCCAGAACTACTTGTGAAAATAGGGCAGGGAGAGGAAAAGGACAGATGTATAGTTTGAGAGCTGCTGAATTATTCAGACACCATGAGGAAGGATTAGCTGCTGGTTTGGAAAGCAGTTTTTCCAAGCTGAAGAAAATTTAATCGGCAGGCTCGTGGGGGTAAAGTCTGATGTCATTTCTGTGGAGAACAGTCACTGGAGCAGCGTTTTACAGCCTCTGCTCTGGTGTGCCTGCCTGAGAACTTCCAGACAGTTAATTGTGCAGGATATGGAATTGAGATTCTGTTTTTTGTTACTATGCCATATTTTTGACATTGCATTTATAAAAAATGTTTGATTGTTTAAGGACTGAAGCATCTCCCCAGAGAGACTCTTAGGAAAACACAACAGGCAGTTGGACTTGGCACTGTTGTTTCTAATTCCAGCGTATGCTGCAAATGCTTCTAAGGTGAAAGTAACCTGTTCCTGAAGTACCAGTATTCTGTAGTTTTGGAACTACAGCTTTCTGTAGCAGTTATTTTTGTCAGATGGTCACCAGTTGCAGCAGGAGATGGCACAGCCGCTCACACCGAGCGCGGCACGGCAGCCCCGGCCGGGACACGACATGGAGACCGCCTGTGCCCATATCCTAAGGAGGACTTTGCCCGCACCGCGAGATGCTTGCGCAATCCCTGCTACCTACTGCCTGTCAGGTTTTGTATTCTGTTCTGTTTCCCCAGCCGGAGCCTTGACATCTATAAAATGTTTCTGCTTGAGCCTGTGTTTTCCTGTCCTTTCAAAGGCTCACAGCCGCCGCTGAGGAAGCGGTTTGTACCACTGAGGGCTGAAGCCGGAGGCTGCGCTACGGCTCTCCGGCGTCACGAGAGCGGGGCCCGAGGCGGGAGGCGTCCCCTCCCGCTCCGCGGCTGCCTCACGGCGAGGGGCGGGCGGGAGGCGGGCAAATGGCGGGCCGCCCGGCGGGAGCAAATGGCGGCGATCCCCGGCGCGGGCGCGCGGTGCCCGGGCTCGGCGCTCGGGGCTGCGGGCTCGGGACCGCCACGCGGCGTCCCCGGCACGGTACAGCCCTGTGAGAGCCGCGCCGCGCCTCCCGAGGCCGGTGTGTCGTCGCGGAGGCGGCGGGGCGCGCGGTCACGGGCCGGGCTGCGTGGGCGGCCCTGCGCGCAGCGACAGCGGGGTGCAGGGACGCGCGAGTGCCGCGGCCTACAGCCCCGTGCTGCGCCGGCGCTCGTCGCACCTGCAGCCGCGCTGCCCTCGGGCCGAGCAATCCGGCGTTGTATTGAACGTCAGCGCGTGACGCGTTGCCTGGAAGAGGCTGGGATGTGCGGCAGCGTGCGCCGCGTGGCTGTACCGCCCGATCCGCAGTGCGGTCTGCTCGGACGGTGGCGGAGCGGCTGGCCCGGTGATGCCCGGTGATGTCGGCTGGTTGCTCTGAGAGCTGGTTGCTTACACCTCCTGCTTACTTCTGTGGGCATCACAACAGATACAAAGAGCACAACAGTGCTGTTTGATAGAGCAGATTCTCGGCTACACAACGCTGTTTTCTAAACAGCCACCACCAGGAGCTGTGCGTTTTCACCAGCCGTGAACGAGAGCTGCACGGCACGCTGTAACAGCCGGCAGCGGCGGAGCTGACCCGCAGAAACGCGCCACACGCCGCCTGGCCGTGCTCACGTCCACTGGTTGGTCTCCATAAGCATTCAGCGAGTGTCAGTGAACATCTGGGTGCCGTTCTTTCCACAGTGGCACACCTCTGCTCCATGCACACCTCTGCGTCAGATGCCATTTTGTCAGTGCCCTGCTGCTGCTGTCACGCCACAACAAAATGGAAGGGATAGTGGTGGGAAGGCCCAGCCTCTACAGCCGAACCAGCAACATCTGCCTCTAGTGGCGTGGGCCGACATTATGAAACGGGCCGTTACTTTCAGAGCAGCCTTTGTGGTTTTGGGACTGCCCCCATTACGAGTGTGGGCTGATGCTGAAGCTGGCTCCCGCGGAATAGATTTGCTGACGTTATATGGCTGTGTGCTTGGATTGCTTGCTCCACAGCTGAGGAGGAAAATACCTGACATAAACTCGTTTCCAGGGAGGGGAGATATGTGTGTATATAAAAGAAAACAATAAAAGCAAATATCGTTCTAGCAAAATGGTTCCATGTATCTTTATTCCTACTAGCAGCTGTCTCTGCTAATAACATCTCAAACAAGAACAACCTTTTTTCTGTATATTTTGGCACTTCTTAAAAACATTTTTTCCTTGTCCTGTGTAATATTTTCTCAGACCTAAAGCAATTCCACAGGGAGAATAATCCCATTGCTGTCAGTGAGAAAGAATAGTTTTGTTCCATTTACCTTTCCTGGTCACTAAATGTTATCATCCATGCTCAAGAGTTTTTAATTCATCGGATGTCTCTTTTCTAATGTGTATGTGCCCCAAATAATCCTACATGTACTGATTTTTGCCCTTCTTACAGTTACCTTTGAGATTACTGCTTTAAAAATTGCAGCTTTTGATGTATATCAATAAATGTTCTCCATTTATGAAGTCATTTGCACTGTCCTGCGAAAATACTCAGTTACACTGTAAACTCACACAGCAGATCTCTAACCAGGTCCCGCATTACTGCAAGAAAGCCTAATTTATTATAATACTTTTTTTATTTCTGCTTTGCAAGCAATTAAGTGGTGTTGGAAAATGGTTTGTTCCTTGTACTGTACCAACATTATGATGAACTGATCAGCTAGTCCTATGCTAAAAGGATTTTACTTGGGGCCCTGAAGGAACTTCTGTGTTGGATTTTCTGTCCTTCATCACTGTGGGAATCAGAGGCTCTTCTGAGTGGGCACAGTGCAAGTTCCCCCTCTGAGACACAGAGCGCTGACCTGAGCAGATGCATCACATACAGGGCTGCTGTAGTGCTTTGCCTATGGGAAATGCAAATGATAAGTCATTGCATATATGTTCAAAATGTGCTCTTTGGCAAGGATTTCAATTAGGTTTCTTTGTTGTTCTTGTTTTTTGAAGGTGAAGTTATGCTGGGGTAGGGAAAATAATGAAAGTGAGCAGATGAATTTGGACCATGCTGACAAGCAGTTGATTATCTCCCTATGGTTGGAGGGAAATGCAGCTCTCGCATGGGCAGCACTGGCCTCCGGTGTTATTCCAGAGCAGCCAGAGCTGGGAGTGGAGCTGTGCTGTGAGGTGGGCAAGAGCTGCACTCCTGGGCTCTTTAGTGTGTTTAGGAAAGCATGACGTCCACAGGTAATGCCCTGTTCCTCTAGGACTCTTGGCAAATGTTAATCAGAGCAGCCTCTGACTGCTCCTTAAAATAGGTAAATGGCTTTTATTTTCCATGTTCTACTCCCTGTACTTTATTATAGTTGCACAGAATGATTCTGCAATCAGGCAGCAGTAGAACTGGAAGTAGTGTCTAGCTCCTTGCTTTCTTTCCTGCAGCATGAAACTAAAAACCTTTCTCACTGTTGCTGGAAAAACAAGTTACTGAGAAGATAACTTTGAAATAGGTCAGTGTGTCTCTTGATAGGCTTAAAATATGAGAGGAGTCTACATAATGTAGGAAGCATGGGATAACATTCACTTTATTGCATCTGTAACATAAGCATTTATTTGCATACTCCATACCCTTGGAAATTAATAGAAAAATACTAACTTTTTTTTGAGATATTTCAGATAACATACAAGGATGTGTCAGTGCTTCCAGAATTTGTTCATACCCAATTTTGAGTATAGTTGTGAGTTAGTATTCTAAACTGTAGAGAGTTAGAGATTACACCAGTGTGGATCTCTGCAATAAAATAACTGTAGGTATGTCTGCCTTGATGATAAATCTTTTTAATGTTCATGGAGACAGATCTGTTCAGGGAGGATCAGTAGGATACGTTTTCTCTTGGTTGTCACGACAACCATAAATCTGTGCAGCTGTACAGCAGCATGATAATCCATCAAGTTTAATCCAGTTTCCAAATTAGATCATCAGTACTGAGCTGCTAGATAGATAACAGCTGGTTCCCATGGTCTTCATTCCGTTCTATCAAAAGGACCAGAGTCAAAGCGGTGCACATGCAGCCTTCTAGGAAAGATGCAGCTTTAAGACAGCAATTTGTTGCTGCAACAGAAGTGTCTGAGTTGACTCACTGTCCTAAGCCTGAGATTGTCAGATGTTTATAAAGAATATTTGTTCTGTGTCTTAAGCCAAGATGTCACTTATGTTTTAGAGATTGGATCAAAACTCTTTAGTCCCTCATTAAGATAAACCAGTTACTATACTGCGCAACAAGTGCTGATGCTATCATGATTTCTGTGTTGCAAAACAAAGTATTTATTTTTAAGGAAATGAGAAAACTTGAGTATTCCCTGCAAAGCGAGAAGAACATGCTTGGAAACTGATCTGGCATTGAAGAGTTCAGAGTTACTCCTAGTTTGAATTGATCCTCAATTACATTAGTCTCATTTGTTATTCTGAAATTACTACATTATTATTTCCAGAGTTTTTGCAGCAGTTCACTGCGATATATTTGTGGACTCCTCTCAATGTCTGTGTAAGCTACCATGAAGCCAGGTAACCAGGCACAGCTCACGTGCACACAGTGGCTTGGGACAGACACTGCATTTATGTAAAATGGCAACTCTCGCCTTGACAATAGGTCCATGTGGAACACTGTTTTGTGTACAGCATCATTAACAAAATGCTGGTATTTCCTGAGTTTGGCAGGAAGTTATTGTCCTGGTTCTTGTCCTCTCACTACACTCCCTGAAAAAGAGTCCCTCTTCATCTTTCCTGGAGCCCCATTAACTGGGAGGCCACAATGAGGTCTCTCTGGGCCCCCTCTTTCCCAGGCTGAACAAGCCCAGCTCCTTCAGCCTTTCTTCATTGGAGAGGTGCTCTGATCATGTTCATGGCCCTTCTCAGGACCTGCTCCAACAGCTCCACATCTTTCTTGTGCTGGATGCCCCAGACCTGAACTGCAGGTGAGGCCTCATGAGGGCCAAATAGAAGGAGACAATCACCTCCCTCACCCTCCTGGTCACCATGTCTTCTGAAACAGCTCAGGATACAGTTGGCCTTTCAGGCTGCAAGCACACATTGCTAGCTCGTGTCCAGCTTTTTGTTCCCCAGAGCCCCCAAGTCCTTCTCCACAGCACTGCTCTCAATCCATTCTCTACTCACCCTATATTCATGTGTGGGATTTTTCTGACCCCAGTGCAGCACCTAAATAGATGCACTTCTCATATCTGTCTAGGACCCTCTGGAGGGCATCCCTTCAACTGCACCACTGAGCCTGATGCCATCAGAAAACTTGCCGAGGTGCACTCAACCCCACTGTCTGTGCCTCTGACAATGATGTTAAATATTGCCAGACCCAATATCAGACCCTGAGGAGCACTGCTAGTCTCCGGTCTCCACCTGGGTGGATGATACAGCTGTAAGGGTCAACAACTTTCTGTTTGACTCATTGTTGGTATCTCGTTTACGTGTGGGTGCATTGTGCAGCCACACAACCACATTAAACACCTTTGTTGCAAACCTTTGTTGCTGTGTTTTTTGTGTTCTCCTGTTAGGGAGGAGCCAAATTCCCCATGGGCTCCCTTTATCTGTGCTGCTGTGCTGAGGGGACAGCTGTGGTACAGCTGCACTCTTGGCCTTTAGGCCTTAGCAATCATATTTATCACTGAAATAGTATTTAAGCACGTCACCTAAAGGCTAAGGAGGACACATGGAGAGTTCTCCTTAGGCCAGGGATATTCATGACATCTTGAAAAATGCTCAGATTTTAGCAGGATTGTATTTAAAAATAAAAAAATCAAAGGAAAGCATTTCATAAATAGTGTTAATGTAAAGGGTCCACCCTTCTGCAGTATACAAATGACTGTTTTTTATTTTAATTTGAAGTGTAATTCATTTGGAAGAGGGGGTTTCTCC